CCCCAAAACCCCAAAACCCCAAAACCCCTTTTAAATTAAGATTTATTGAAATATTAAATAAATGTTAATTTGTCATTATTTGAAGCAGAAAGTTATTCATAAATCATTTAAGAATAGATTCTACATAAATAAAGCTTTGTTCGGAACTAAACCATTTCAAGAATGGAGGATTCCCATATGTACCTTTGAGAATAATCCCTTTTAGAACTGAAGCTGCAAAGAATCCTGTATCAAAGAATGAACAGAAGAGAATCCATAAGAAGTTAAATAGAAGGTTGGCTCAAGGAATATCTGTGAGTTAATAATAATTAAACAATTTTAATGAGTTTTAGGCTTTAATAAGAGCCGAAAACAATAGCAAAGAGGATTTAATCAGCAATGTTCCTACTAATAAATTATTTGTTTTCCATTTTGGCAATGGAGATGAAGAAGATCAGAGAGTTTTAATGGATTATTCAAAAAATTATGGGCCAATTAACACTATCTCATTATTCCCTGGCCTCAACTTTGGCTTTATAGAATATCCAAAAGTTCAGCATGCTAAAATGCTCATGGATAACTTATACAACAAAAAGTTTGTAGATTTAAAATTTTATGACAAGTACCGTACTTGTTGCTTTCAATATTCCAAAGTTGAATATGAAGACCTGGATAAGTTTAAAATTCTAGAATTTCCTGATTCTACTTATGACATAGACATAGAAGGGCTTTATAGTATTGATAATTTTGTGACTGAGCAAGAATCAGAAGCTATCAAGAGATGGCTAGATGAACAAAAATGGACTAAGCTTTTAAATCGAAGAGTTCAGCACTTCGGATATGAATTTGTTTATGGAGCTAATAAAATTAACAATATTGATGGAATTAGGCAGATGCCTCATGATCAAGATCAAATATTTAAAAAGATCAACGATCGACTCAATAATGTTCTGAAAGGATTTTATTTTAACTCAAATAAAGAAGCAATGCGAGTTAATGATCATAACGGAGTGCAAATTAATGATGAAAAAGATTGTGTTAGCAAAATGACAACTTATTTTGATGAACTTGGAGAATTTGACCAGCTAACAGTAAATGATTATACACCTGGGCAAGGAATTCCCCCTCATATCGATGTTCATTCTGCATTTGAAGAGATGTTTGCATCATTATCTCTGAATAGTGAAACAACTATGATATTTAAATCGGCTGAAGAAACAAAACATATTTCTATAAAACCTAGAAGTCTGCTAATATTTAGTGGGGAGGCTAGGTATAAATGGCTGCATTCCATCCCCAGCAGAAAGTTTGATAGGGTTGATGGACTAATCAAGAGCAGAAGGAGAAGAATATCTCTGACTTATCGTAAAGTGAGATCAACCCCTGTCTGATCATGAAGATGGCCAAGGATGTGTGATTCACAAAACAAACAAGTAATATAGGTTTGATATCTTCAAATTTCTATTCATCATGCTAAAATTCTTCTAGGCCGCTGTTGACGAAAACAAACTTATTGGAGAGGGAAAAGCAGTTAACTTAGATTCTAACGTTTCTGGTAGAGTTTAAAACCAACTTCTAGATATTGAACAAAAGCATGTATATGATGTATATGAAAAGATTGCTCCTCATTTTTCAAAGACAAGGTACAAGCCATGGCCTAAAGTCCAAGAGTTTTTAGAATCACTACCAGAGGGCTCTATTAATTGCGATGTAGGGTGTGGAAATGGAAAATATTTACAGTGAAATGGCAAGAAGGTTTTGAGTATAGGAACAGATAGGTCATTTAATTTGACCTCAATAGCCAAAGATAGAATTGAAGGGAGCCAAGTTTTTGTCTCTGATGGGTTAAATCTGGCTTTAAAAGACAAAATATTTGATTCTGTGATTTCTATTGCTGTTATTCATCATTTTTCTTCGGAGAAGTTAAGAATTAAAGCTATACAAGAGCTAAAGAGAATTTGTAAAGTTGGAGGTATCTTATTTATAATTATTAGGAAAAATCTTGGTCTATGTATGGGCTTTAGAGCAAGAAAAATAAGTTTGCAAGTCAAGATGTCTTTGTTCCATGGCATTTGTATCATAAATACGACAAGGAGCAGGTATTTTAATACTTAAAGTTTAGAACAGAAAGAGAGAAGTTAATATTCAAACAAATACAGGCTTCATTGAAACAGCAATAAAAGATGAGACCAAGAACGCTACTATCTATCATAGATACTACCATGTTTTTAAGAAAGGAGAGTTAGAAGCCCTAATTAATAAAATCCCAGGGCTGAAAATAGAGCAAAGTTACTATGATCATGCAAATTGGTGAGTAGTTTTAGAGAAAACAGACCATTAATTTTCAATAAGTTTATTAAATCTAGGGGTTTTGGGGTTTTGGGGTTTTGGGGTTTTGGGG